CATACACAATGCTTTGTATTAGGGCTGGGCGATATACATAGTTCCCACAGACCAATGAATGTCACATGACCTCCTCGGAGACGCCATCTTTGATGGCACGCTGCTGTGTTTGTGCATTCCATTAAACAGAAGAATGAGAATAAATGTAGATATTCAAACGCAAATTGGAAAAAAAGGGCAACTTTTGAGCAAATAATTGTATATTAATACAATGGCACCACAGTTTAACGTGCTACGGACATGTTTTACATATTTGATCAAATTATGCAGCAAAAATTAACAAGCAATGCAAACGTTTCTCAAAAACTTTAGATTTAATACCAGTTGGAGCTCCATTTAATTATTTTAATTATATTAACAATTAATTTAATTAATGCTAATGCCACACGGACACTCTGGATTGCTGTTATTGTTTATTTCCGCGTTTTTGACCGTATGTTTTGGTGAATGGTGGGCAACTGATTTTTCCAGGCGTAAAGAGCAGTTTATTTTATGACACAGATCTTTTTACAGAAGCAATGCTGTTTGTGAACATTGTTTTAGCCCACCATAGAACTATTATTATCTATTTAATACATTTACGTTGCCCTCGAGAGCCTCGGACGCGACACCGATCCTCCTCATAATAAAGTAATCTAACGCTAAATAATGAAACTCTCAAGTTACCAGATATCAGCATACACAAGTTAGTACTGAGTAAATTACGTCTGTCAACACATTATAAGATACGATACGCACCTGACACAAAGTGCTCCGAGCATATTCTTGCGTGTTTTGAGGGAGTTTCTTGCCTGTTTATCTTCGCAAGCCATAACCTCCGTGGTTGTTCTGACAAAAGCTTAGTCTTCTCACATTCATGAAGTCTAATGATGGGTATACTGTAAAATCCAAGTTTAACGGAACCTCCGGCACGATTTGAACATCCATTGACCCAGCAGGAGATGACCATTTTCAACTTTATCACGACATTAACACGTTTCAGCTTCTTTTTCTATTGTTTTGCCCACAGAATGCCAACACAAATGGCGCCGGGTCGGCAAATCCCCGTATGTAGTGACGTCATGTGGGAACTATGTATAAACGGTATAAGCGGTATGCGATATAAATTTGGCCCACGGTAGAGATTTTTGTTATACCGGCATATTGCGATAGGTCATTATGTCATTAAATTGCGCAGGCTCTGACGCCAACAGAAAGGACCAAAACAAACCGGCATTCAGCAGCATTAGCCTAGCATTAGCCTAGCACTATTGGACACCACTGGAAACAACGAACAACAGCACGGCATTAACACCGTGTTTCTGTCTATGTATTGTTGTCACAGCGGCCCCAGCAGAGGTAAATACACACACAGTAATCACAGTTTAAGAGTCTACCTTTTGGCCAATCAGTGTCAAAGGGGCGTAGGCTCGAAGCGCCAGCGTGAGCCAAAATAGATCCATGCGTGTGCTGTGTCCGCAGCATCATCACAGCCGAAGTTTGGGAAAGTTAGCGTCAGATTCGGACCTCCGCGGTCAATATCTCACGAAAGCTACTTTGTTAAACAAAATGTATTGTGCCAAAATGATCATTTACATCAATTGTTCAAATCCAATGCGCTGTTTTAATGAACATAAATCCATTGAATCATCCAGTTCACTGCAAGCGCAGAGAAAAGCACTTAGGGAGCGTCAACAAATGGCAAGACCAGCTTTGTAAACGAACAATAGCTTTTACTGAAGTCATGTACCTGCACAAAACTCTCAGACACTATAAATAATGACCATGTCTAACTCCTACAGACTTTGATTTCAACATTTGTGAGTTTTTTATATTCTAAATCAGGGGTCACCAACCTTTTTGAGACCAAGAGCTACTTCTCGGGCACTGATTAATGCGAAGGGCGACTAGTTTGTAACCATAGACTGTATATATTAACGGACAGAGTCACGCCTATCTCCGCCGTTCTAACTAATGGGCCAAAACATTTGCTCTACTGGAGCTATCCAAAATGGCCGCGAGTGGTCCCACCCACAGGAAAATTGTGAAAAAAACGCATCTGCGCATGCGTCAGCCGGAGCAGCTCCATTCATTTGAACGAGAGACTTCAAAAATTCACAGTGAGTAAACTAGAGTGGACCAAACCAATTCACCCCCCTCAGCATTGACACACATGTGGAACGGAGCTTTGGGCCAAGAGCCAACTTTTGGTCCATCCTGTAAAGACGTTTTCGAGAGGTCTGCCAATGCTATATGTTAGCATTGGCTAATTCTACTTCTGGGTCCACCCCCATCGGCCCGGGGTGGTATTGCAGCATGTCAGCGCACGTCATTTTGGCCACTTTTGAGCTGGGACCCTCCCCCACTGTTTGTTACACACTTAAATACATCGCCAGAAATAACCAATTTGCTCAATTTACATTTAACTCTGTTAGTATTAATAATTAATGATATTTATCTTTGTGGAAACACTGATCATCTTAATGATTTCTCACAATAAATATATATAGAAACAGATAAATATCAATATGAAACACTTTATTGTTACATTTTCTCTAAGTGAACATTTATTCACAATTATGTGAATTCACAATATCCCATTTTAACTATAGCTACTAACATTTTTAACAAATCATGAATTACTTTGCACCATGTTTGTACAAATAACTCATGTAAAATACAAAAGTCAACTCTCAAATGTTTAAGATAAGATAAGATGAGCCTTTATTAGTCTCACAATAATGTCACACGTGACGATCTCACAGGAGTTTAGAAACCAAAGCGGTCCCATTTACGCTGCTACTTTCTCCTCTTCAGAACAAAAACAACAGTGAAGCTGTTTGAGATCATTACATGTGTTTCTACTGTAGGTTTATGTGACCGTTCTAAACTCATCGTTTCAACTCATTTAACTGTGATGTTGTGAATAAAGACACAGTTCTTGTTGGAAACATAGTTATTATTAAAGTGTATTCAGCACAAACAGCAGAACAATAATTGGTAAAAATATCTGAGATAAACATGAACGATTTACGAGTACAGGAGGAATGCAACAGACGCAGCTACGATTCAAACAAGACAGGAACAGTGAAAAAGAAACGACTGCACAGTTAATAAGTTATATATATATATATATGTTAACTATAGGTTATATGTTAGATATGCAACAGAAGTGAACAGTCCATTCTCCGCATATATCAGGCTCTGCAATGAGCCCAAACTGCTTTTTCTTCGCTTCCTTCGATGCAGTGTGCTCTGCTCCGAAGTGCCTCGTCCATGCTCCCTGCGGCCGCTCCGTGCTTCCGCCCAAAACACACACACGGACCAATCACAGCGGAGCTTCTCTGCATTTTCGAGGGTGCGCAGCAGGCTACGTAAGGGCCTTGCGGTGATCCACGCGTCGCGCAAGTTACGTCACGTCACCTCCGTAAGCTCCGCGCTTGAGTGCTTCTATTTGAGCTATTTTTAGAACAGGCCAGCGGGCGACTCATCTGGTCCTTACGGGCGACCTGGTGCCCGCGGGCACCGCGTTGGTGACCCCTGTTCTAAATGAATGCACATGTTTTTCTTTTTTTAAATTGCTTTTACAGTGAACGGTATTTACTGTAACAAACATAAATAATGTATGTTACAACATTTGTCTCTTTATTCGTCTCACTGAATAACTAAAAAAAATATATATATTAGATTCTAATATATAAATAAGTAACAATCTTGACTATTTTATGCAAGAACCTGCTAGACCTATATTGAAATTCACACCAAATTATACTGCAATATATACCGTCTACCGTCTGTGTCCCAAATTATACCCCAATCATTATACTGTTTTCTGTGTATCAATGTGTATTAGTGTTGAATGGGGGAGGGGGGTGGGGGGGGGGGGGGGGGGGGGGTTGGGCTAAATTGATTGCTTCATCCATCCCCTTTTTATACCTGTATTAGAAAACTTGTTTTGCAGGTCTGAATTAAATCTATGTAACTCACGAGTGTTGGAATAGAGTTTATATTTTTAGCTTTGAGGTGACAACACTATTCATAAGTGATTTATTATCATCCCTTTTATATGTCCGTATTTGTGTCTTTATGAATACACCAGTAAGATAATGACTACGCTTCCTCTCTCACTGTAAGTTGTATTTATAATGGTTGAATCATGTGTGAGTCAATATTCTCTTCCAGTCAAAACACCATTTCTTTGAAGATGCGTGTTTTCCCTCTGCCCACAACACACTGCACTGTACTTATGGAGCTGAGATTGCTGATACAGCAGCTGAGCCATTTTGAAACAAAGTGAAAACTAAACGCTTCTCTTGTCGTCAGGTTGAATTGTGTCAAAACCAATCAAGAGGTAGACGTCTTGTTTCGTTTATGAAGTTGTGTTTTCTAGATAAGACTTACATGTATCAACATAGCAATAGAATAATGTTTCACTTCCCAGATGTATAGCTAAAACGCAGTATTATGCTTAAGAAAAGGCAAAAATGAACAAAAACGCTTCCAGGTCCAGCCTAAGCTATCCATAAATACAGTCCATCTGCTTAAAGCTGAGGTACCTAAATTCTTTGTTTCATAAATCAGTCTAAAAAAGCTGATCTAAAGTTGTGACAAAGGCCAAAAAAACATGTGAAATCCAGTGATGGAAGAAAGCCGTCCCGACAGCCAAAAACTAGTTAAATGGAGTTTATTACATTATTTGTTCTGGTTTCAAAGTTAGGTACTCCAGCTTTAATTATCTCTTTTCTAACGTAGCTTCCACTGCTACAACTCTCCTCTCCTTTGTTGTAGGATTTATATTTTTAGGTCAATTTATTGTGTTCTCATCTGACGCCTGTTTATATTGATTTTTATTTTATTTTAGCAAAGCAGTGCATATACACTGCCATAATTAATGTCTAAAGACATTTTAGTTATTACAGCTTTCCTTGACAGCCTAGATGCCCGACTCCAAAAAACCAAAATCCCACGTTCTATTGATAATTCTGATTTAACTCACCCGTTGTTGATGTGTTGTCTTGCAGGGCCAGTACTGTGACATCTGCATCCCAGGGGACACTGACCGCGCCCACCCCATCACCAACGCTGTGGACGGGACGGAGCGATGGTGGCAGAGCCCGCCCCTTTCCAGAAACACCGAATTCAACCAGGTCAACGTCACCCTGAACCTCGGACAGGTAATGACACAGCTACAATCTGTGAATCGCTGAGTGACAATTGTGTTCAAGTTTATTCACGCTTGGTTGGCAAAAACAGTATTTCCACAAGCCCTAAAAGTGCCTGGTACCGGTTAAACAGGGGCCAAAGGAAACACTCTCACTCAAGAGTCGAGTAGTGCCAAGTCGAGTAGGGCCAAGTAGAACTGGCATTAGGGCATTCACTTTTCTTGATCAGACCATCTTATCTTACATGTCATGTGTGGCCGTAATTGTTTTATTTCCAAGATGTTACGAGATGGTGACAGTTCATTGTAAAGTAAAGGAAGGAAAGACAAGGCATATTTATCTTGTATAGGACAGTTCATTACAACAACTCAAAGCGCTGAACAAAACCAGAAAAAGAACAATACAAGGCATTAAAATCACAAATGATCACAGTACATACATAACCTGGATTTGAACATTGTCAGAAAAGAAGCCTGTCTCACATTTTCAGGAAGACTGTTCCAGATTTTAGCTGCATAAATCTGAAACGCTGCTTCCCCATGTTTAGTCTTGACTCTGGGCACCAGCAGGAGGCCAGTCCCTGTGCTCCTCAAAGTCCCAGCAGGGGGCAGTCCCTGTGCTCTTCAGAGTCCGAGTTAGTTCAAAACTCTTGTAGTTTTGAAGACCGTTTCTTTGAAAAGCAAATTGGGATGAACAGACTCACACACACTTGTCTCCAGATGACGTCCTTTTGTAGCTGCGCTTTTGAATACAGCGTTCAGTTCTGCTCCTCTGGTCGAGTGGCTCTTTGTCCAGACCCTCGTGTCCCATTAGAGACTTTTCCTGTCCACTCTCACTTTGGCATCCCACTGCAATTGCTGCTTTTGTGAATGAAGGAGCCAGTAAACCTTTTATGGGATTGTTTACCTTGTTCCACCAATGAAACATGAATGAACCAAGTTTACGAAGCAATTTGGGTCAAAGTGGTCAAAAAATAACATACATAAGTTTTATTTTCCTGTATTCTGCTTTGTGACATTCAGTTGATACACCAGTTTGAATTTATGAGTTTCCAGTTTTTTTTGCTTCTATTTAAACATTATGTAGAGCCATCATGTTTCATAGTTTGCCCCCTCCTTCTGAGTAGCTCTCCAAAGGGGTTTAGAAATGACAAAGAATCTCCCCAATAATAAAAAAAAAAAATTCAGTTTACACTAATGAATCAAGCCCCGGTGATCCAAGATGGCGCCCTATTCAAATGAATGGCTTGTGCTCAGTAGCGCATGGGACATCACGGGCGCTGACATTTTAGCGGAACTCTGCTGTATTTGGGCCTCGTCTGGTCCTTCCGGTTCTGCACAGTGGACGAGCTCCCATGATGCGTTGCACCAAATACACGTGTGTGGCTCTCATGCACGTGCACAGAGGGGTTGGCCGCGTTTTGACCAATCAGAGCTGCTGATCAGAGCAGTGGTAATATAAAAAAATATATATATAGTGTAGAGAAATGAGGCAGAATAGAGCCAATTCCCCTATATCACGCAGCCCCTTCTTATGTGGTGGGGGAGGGGCAGTCTTACTTTTGTCCTAAAGAATGTTGGTGGGCTCGGGGCACCTCCACCTGACGCCGCGGCACAGTCCCACATAGGAATGCCAGTTAACCTGTCCCGGCCCGCTCACAGGCTTGTTAAATTACACTCAGTCAGACCCCCACCCCGTCCTCTTTACACTTTTCGCGCTCCGCAAAGATGACTATTTTTGGGACATCCTACGCCTTTCCCTGGCTGCCCTGGTCTACATCCAGTGCAGTTTAATTTTATGAGCGAGCTGTTATCTGTCACCTCCTGGGCTCAAGTCCAAAGTCAATGAGCAATAAAATAGTGTGTGGCGGAAGTAGTTTCTGCAGGCCGCCCGTGGGGTTGTCAAAAGTGTATAAAATCAGACGGTTTCAAGTTTGACGAATGTTTCAAAATGTATTGAGAATCAAGCATTTAAACTAGTATTGAAACTATATACACATTTCTGAAAGTGTTAATACTAGAAATAATGTCATAAAAACAACAAAATGTGATGTTTCTTAAGCTTTTCTTGATACATTTTAACCCAAATACAGACAAACTTGTATAAACCCCCTTGGTCCTTATTATAGAGTCCTTATAGAGTCCTGGATCGCCGGTCTTTCAGTGGGGGATGATCCCTCTCTCAATTTGGGCCTCGCTGAGGTTTCTTACTTTTTTCCCATTTTTTTTTTTTTTGGAGGACAGTGATGATCTTGGACATTAAATAACATTTATGGACATTGGTCATCCTGATCTCCATGGACCAACAGCTCGTTTGCTTCCTTTGCATTTCCTGTGTTCAAGCTGTTAGATTCTCTGAAGCAAGATATTAAACCATTCTATACAGGACACACTCAAGGGAAACTACTGAGGAGTTTTAAAAGCATTATGATGTACTATATACCTAGTATATTATTACTATAATTTACTTTTATTTATCATAGTGAAAAGGTAAACCGGCGCTTGTGGAGGAAAGCTGCGCATACACAGGGAGAACAAGCAAACTCCACTCAGAAAGGCCCTGCTTTGTGCTCTGTGCCTACATGCAGTGGGAATTTATACATCAAAGGCAATGTATTTGGGAGACAAAAATATAACTGATAACATAATATAATAATAATATAACAATTTATAATTTATATTTTATATAATAGATATGATTTATTGAATATAGTTTTTTTTATTAAATTCAAAACGTAAAAACAAAATCTTGATACACAGTATTAATAACTTTATACAATTGGAAAAAAATGAACAACTTGTTATAGTGTAAAATATGTAATCTAAAATATATATTGTTAGCATATATTAGCAAACCCCGAAGGGAAACTATTTAACTATGATGAATGACGAATGAATAAATCCGTCAAAGGCTCTTCAGGCACCACATACAGTATGTCAGAGTTGTTGCCTCTTTGAGCGAAAGTCACTCTGTGTATCACATGCTATATTCAAAATGAAAAGTAACACACGTCTTGTTCTAACAAATTAACCATTACTATCTGAAGCCACAGGAGCCAATCTCTCCTGATAACACTGCCCAATAATAATAAATATAGTCTCTTCCTAATCTCCTCACAGCTGTTTATCCGTTTATCTTCCTCCTTGGAGCTTTCCTTGTTTTTGTCTCTGAAGAACACGTTGCAACAGTCTCTTGCTTTGACGCCCTGGGGGGGCTGTAGTAACATGCTAATAAAGGAGAGATCAAAATCAAGCTCAAACATTTCAAACTCCTGGAATTGAAGTGAATTTACACTAAATGTAGGTTGAAACATGATTCTAGTGCAGATCCAAACAAGACAAATTATTAGTAAGTATGAATGAAAATTGCTTTCTCTTCTAAAGATGGGAGAGTATTTAGTGCAAAGCGTTTAGGTGGTGACAAAAAAAACAATGTAGTTCTAGCGCCCGGCCAGTAGGGGGCAGTGGAAGGTTACAACAAACCATGCGCGACCAGTGTAACCACTTCCTCTACAACAGCCTCCTCAGGCCGCCACAAAGACGTGAAAGAATGGACCAACACCATTCTGCATTTAACAGCAGCAGCAAAAATGGAAACTGAAACTACAGCTGTGCGTGGTTTTGTTTGGACGAACGAAGGGGTAGAATTCTCCGTGTAGCGCTTGACGCACACGTAGCATTAGTGTAACCGCCGCCATTGCTGTTTACATTTGTTCTCGGCTACTGCGCATGGCCAAATGTGCGTGCAAGTACATTGCAGCCAGAGAATTCACACCTTTTCCTTCACACATCTGTGAAACAACCCCCCCGCCACGCAGCGTATCTGTTCTGTTCCACTTTGCAGGCCGTTTCTCAAAGCTAGCGTTTTCATCCTCCTGAAACACCGTCTTTATGAAAATGAAAGGCCAATCCAATACCCATCTCTATTGCATTACTGTCACAGTGTCTCTGTGTAAACAGCACATTAGTCTCCAGGCGTTGTGTGTGTCTGGCTATGAGCATCTTATCTGCAGTATTGGCTTTTATCAGTGAGTTGGATTTCCCATGAGCCAAAATTGGAACTGGAACAGCCTCCAGTGCATATAAACCTCTCCTTATCTTTAACCAAACAAGCCCTATTCTTTATTACTGTCTCCATACTACTCAACTATCAGTTAAGTCATCAATCAGTAAGTGCCATCAATCCTGGTGGATGACAAGTTATGCAAGGATTTTTAAAATTAATTTTTGTAAACTATGGAGAAATCAGACTACTTAATTTGTATGTAATTGTCGTTAAATCTATAATTGATTCCTGTTTACAAGCTTGAAATAAATACAATCAATCAAATCAACATGGGCTAGGAAATAGTATTGCTATACTGTGGAAGATTCCAGGAAACATCATGTTTGCATAGTCACAAACAGGTGAAACTAAACAAAATAGCAAGTTGTGTGTATTTGTGTGGAAAAATAATAGCATTTTGAATAGCTAATAGATAATGTATTAATTAAAATGCAGATGTCAAAGGTCATGTAGAATGTTCTGAGATTGCAATGATAATATAATGCAATATTTTAAACTTAAAATAGGGGAGACTTGGACAGTTGGAATATAGGAAGCACTCAAAACAAGTAAAAAAGCTGTATCTAATACTCTAATTTGTATGTTTAAAACTGTTTATATACATTTTGGAACGGCCTTGGTAATAATGGCAGGAGTAGTAGCAGCAACTGCAGCAGGTACAACAGCAGCAGGAGGAGGAGGAGGCTGGTACAGTGAAGTATCCCCAACATCAATGAAAGGAAGTGCTCCATCCACAGACACTGGCACCAACCACACAATGGAGCTTCTGCCGGGGTTACGCAGATCAGACAGGGTGGGAGTTGTCTGAGGATACTAAGAGACAAGTCTATTTTTAAACTTCAATACGGTCAAACCCAAACAAAGTCCATAAATGTTTCTAGACTATGGAACAAATTCAGAAAATATTCTTTTTAAACCAATAAAATGCAGGATGTCGGCTCAATATT